GTGCAGGAATGCCCGGGTCATTCCTCTTCGAGCCAGCAAATGCCATCTAAAAAGATGGGATTATCCACCTCACCTAGGCTGTGCTGTGCCCATCAGCACTGCAGGTAATTCTCTGCAGTCAGGGCAGAAATGTCTGAAACACCACCCAGCAGGCACACGTCATAAACTATGACACCCCCTGAGCACTCTCTGTACTTTGTATCACAGCCAACTTTGTCGATACAAAGCATCAACTCTGAAAAAAATAAGAAAGAGAGACCAAAAGGCCAAGGCTAGTAATGCCTTATTGTCCAGCAACAGTGGGAGATTTCTTGCTGCAATGTACCCAGGTAATCTAAGGAAGGGATGTGGGAACCACGATCCACTCTTCTTCACAGAGGAGGAAGCCAAACTCCTCTCTCTTGCCTATTCTCCTGAGCCTCTGAATAATCTGGTTTTAGGACATCCTAATTTCTGACCACAAATCCAGTAAGAGGTTTAGCCCTGAGTATATTAACAAAGCCCAGTGAGTTGGCATTGGAGAAACTTCTTCATACCCAAAGATCACCCATGCACTCCAGCCAACTCCCTATCTCTTGTTGATGCCAACTTCCACTGCTTCCCATGAAAGGATGTAAAAAAGGTGGGATGTTGCCTTTGTGTTGCCTCTCAGCATCTGCTTACTCGTAGGAGAGAGACGTCAGTTTGCTGGCACTGTTTTAAACATTCAAAGTGACACAGAAAATGAAAGATCCCCTTTCTCACAAATGACTGCTCTGCCCCAATGGCAGAGGCACTCTTGCTCAACCCATGAACGTGGAAATTGCTGCATATTTGGGCTCACGTTAAACCTTTTCATCTTGATTATACAGCTCGCTGTCACATTTAGGGCTGCTGTGCAAAGTGCTATGTGAGTTATTGCTGTGCTGAACCCCAGCAAGCAAATGGTGCTGACACTCTATAAACTTCTCTGCATGGGCAGAGAACCTAGTGTTACTGCAGGGAGACAGCTCAAAGACGCTTGCTCAGAGACCACAGGGGAAAACCCATTATGGTTTTATTCCTTGGACATCAGCCCTCCATCAGGAGAAAGTCTCCTGATGCTGAGGCCAGGCAATCAGAGCTCACCCCATGATGATAGTTCCCAAGGGAGGGCAAAATTCTTGTATTCAAAACAATAAACCTTCCTTTTGGGACAAGCACCTCTGTGCACACACATTCCATCATCCCTGTCATTTTCAAAGGCAAAAACAAATTAAAAGAGGCCCACTTGCCTTTCACTGCTCTGCATTTAGTACCAAAGTTGACAGAAGAGGATGGTTTATCTCCATCATGACAAATCCCAGCCAGCTCCCAGAAAGGATACACACCAAATGCAATGGGGGCCCTTTGGGGCTTACCCAAGCAGCATCATTACTCATCCTAAAGCCTGTAAGTTCTTGGATGGCAACTTCCTCAGTGCAAAATGAAGATGAATCATCTTCAATGCTAACTGTTGAAAATGAAGTTCTCCATTTTAGGCAAAAGTATCCCTTCTCACCACTCTGGCAGGAGGAAGAGCCACCCTACAGGATGTGGTACCAGGCTCTGGTGCTGCAGAGCTGTGGCACCGCCATGTCTGGTCCTCAGCACGGGCTCATCCCGGCCACCATGCGGATACATGGAGCTGTGCTGAGCAGATTGCTCTGCAGGAGAAGCAAACAGGAGGGAAGCACAAGTATTAAACACTCTGGAGTCCTAACTCTGCTACTTTGCCCAGATGGGATTTATGGGGTAGGGAGGGGGAGAAGGGATACAGATGGAAGAGCCATCTTCGGCCATTTCAAGTGTTAAAAATAAGTGAGATATGTGCCTTAGGGCTCAGCAGATGCTCCATGATTCTTCACCTGGGCTTGTGTTTGAAAAGATCCTGACCCCTTCTTATGCTACACATTGCAATAGGATCGCCCAGCCAAATGTTGAAAACCTATTTAATGAATGCAATTTTCCTATACCTAATTAAAAAATGTTCCCTCACAAGTCTATTCCTCCTGCTTTTCTAGCTTTTTAGAAATTTGCTGCAGACAATTTTTTTTTTCCAAAAAGTCAAAATCCCAGAACAAAACAAGCACCGCAACCAGTATGAGAGCTGTGTGAATCCTTTCAACTACTTTCATAAAGATCTGTCTACTGATGTGAAAGAGCCTCCTGACTCCTTCCCTCTGGACCATGCTGAAGTGTCCCCACCAGGCAAATAAAGGGCAAGGGACAGCTGAGTACACAGCAGAGTAAGGACTACCTGTGGTCAAGAACAGGCAGACAGCCAGCAGAGCATCCATGATGTTGGGCTATGTCTGCTGGGGACTTATTCATCAACCAGGCAACTGGGATGCCCAGTTCAGCAAAGGTGTTGAAGGCACAGAGACCTGCAGGACTAGTCTGCACAAGCCCACTGCTCCACCACCAGCCAACAGCAGCACCTGGGCTTAAAATTACCACTGTACCCACGACACTGTGCCCACAGACTACATCCCCAGCTGCTAGAAATCCGTGTAAACTTTTTTTTTTTTTAAGGCCAGAGGGACTTTTCAATCATCTAAACTGTCTTTTTGTATGAAATAAGCTGTACATCCAGCTACTGTAATGTGGAGCCTAATTACTTCTGCTAAGTAACTGTCATGCCACTCACTTTGGTGGTGACACATCAGCATGTAGAGGATAAAATGCTGTTCTCGAAATTGCAACAGCTTGAATCTGCTTCCCACCATTGCTCCACAGACTCAGTGTAGTGAAGTCTCATCCCGATAGGCACAGGGAAGAGGCAACAGTCAGAACCTCGTAGGTGACCTACAGAAGAGCGATGGCTGCAGCAGCACATCTGCAGCATGTCATCCGCCAGTGTAATCAGGTACCAACACAAAAGAGGGTGCTTTAGACACATAACTAACCAGAAAACAGAAGTTTGGAAAGCAATGCAACACTAGCAGATTCAAGTGGAGCAAGCTGATAAGGATTTTAAATTGCATTTTTCCTGCACCGTAAGGCACCAGGATTTCATTACCTGTTTTGGGATTGATTACAAAGAAGTTCTGAGGATTTCCACTTGTAATCCGGTAAGTCAGTTTTTCATTAGTGCCAGAGTCAGGGTCTTGGGCTTGGATCTGAATGACAGATACATCCTTCGGGGAGTTTTCCATGACAGCTGGGTAATAGATAGGTTCAGAGGTGAGAGGAGCATTGTCATTCACATCCTCCACTTCAATGTAGACTTCGATGGTAGTGTAGAGTGGGACAACACCATGATCAGTCGCGTATACTGTCAACCAGTAGGATTCGGTTGTCTCCCGGTCAAGAATATCTGCTGTGTAGATAACTCCTGCAGAAAAACAGCAAGCAGAGAATCTCAGGACTAAGGTCAAAGAACTGTCATATCTATTTTGATTTGGCTGTACTACAGTTAAGTCTTCAGCATATAAGAAATGCTCCAACCTTAGAAAAATTACAGTTGTGCATAAAACAAAAACGGAAAATTGAACTCAGGCACTGTTTGTTCAACCCTGATCAACATCTCAGTCTTTAGTCTCAACAAATTCAGGAGGGAAGCCAGCAAGATGGTTCTGCACAAGTGTCTTAATGTCATATCCAGTTCTTTGCTGGGACTGCAGCTGGCAGAGTAACAAAAGAAACACCATAATTTTCTGCTGGTAATACAAATTTGTATAAGCCTTAGTAGAGGGGAATTATCACTATTGCCAATGAATTGCACAAGGGAAGGCGGCTTGTCTTTCCAGGCTCCTGTCTGTGCCCTTGCTAAAGAAGAAAAGCTAGGGGGAAGTTTAAAATAAATCCATTCAAACTCAGAAAACAGTAGGTATCGACAATAATCATATAATAACTCATTGCACAATGTCAATCCTGGGTAACAAGCAGTCAAAAGCTCACACAGTAGAAGCTCTTATACAGCTCCTGTATCCTCTTTTATTACAGAGAAAGGAAGGTTTGGCCACTCTACATACTGGTGTAAGAAAACAGAAGCTGGTTTACTACCTGATTCTAAGAAACCACAACAGAAGTGTGTTTGTGTATACTCTCTGCAGAGCTGCAGAGAGCCATGGCACCCACCACTCCACTGAAGTACCCCCATGTCTGCAGGGTTCCTGCCATGAAGGATTTCCACTCACCGCATTTCTGCCTAAAGGAATTCCTGCTTCTGAAATGAACCCCAGAACTATGAAGACAACAGGTAAAAACAGACAGAGGGCCCTTAAACCAGAAAGACCTCCAAGCACTGGAAGACCTGCTTCCATTTGTATAGTCCAAACCTTCAGTGATTTGAGCACTCCCCATGAATGCACGGAGGATCAAATACACCAGTAACACATATACAACCACACCAGCATGAAATAAGCAAATGAATTTTCCCATCACTTCTGTGACACATATACCAAGAACATTTTTCCTTTCCTAATGCAGCATTATTAAATCTTGGGGGACACATTACTGCAGTGGATGTCAAACTTGACATACACTTCAAAGGACAGTTTGTAGAACACCAAGTCATATCATTAGTAGATGGAAATTTGTGGAGAATTGTAGGGCAAGACCACAACACAAGAAACCTTAATTTAGTCTCAGATGTGCTTCATGCTATTTAGAACATCACCAGTTAGTCGCTGAGGAAAGAGGTGCTCTAAGATCATCATTAGTAAGTGATGTGTGTACCTTTTTTGGCTTTTGGCATTTTTCAAGTATCAGACTGCATCGAAAGTTTCTATAACAGCCTTAGAAAAGCTTTAAAGACATTGGAATTGGCAGAGGGGTGTAGGTCAGCCTTTGGGCACTTGTAAGGAAGGTGAAGGCTCTGTGCTCAGCCACTCTGCAGAGCACGGGCTGCCAAGAAGAGATCCTCCTCACCCGTCCTACCAGGAATCCTTCTTAGTGGGGTATGTAAAGCTTAGATGTAATTTATCTGCATTATTCCTCAGTCTTCCAAGTTACGCATCAAATCTCACTTTTTAGCTTATACCAGCAATTAATCCTTTTATGACAATAGATTCAGAGAAGACGTTTCCTTTAAAAGTTAACTGCTGAACTCTATTCCATATCTTGAAGAGCAGCCATGGAAATCATGGCTCTGTGCTCATGAGATGGCAGCAGAAGAGATAGATTTGATGGTCTAGAAGACAGTCTGATGTTTAGCACTATGAACAGCTTCAGTACCAACCTCCATTTACATTTTGCAGCAGAACACATTCTATATGTAAGTTTACTGGCAGACTTACTAGGTGGTTTTTATAAAGGATAGCATCAAGAGGTGAAGGATATAACTTCTGTCCTAAGGGACAACCCTCCTGGCATAAGACAGAGAAGCCCACCGAGCAGGAAGGGATGCTGCCTGCCCCTAGGGAGCCAGGCCCTGGCTCTGACATCCCCATCCAACTCTGCTCTGGGCAGGAGGCAGCACAGAACTCACCACACAGTAACAGAGATGACTGATGTACTTGCACTTGTCTCAGAGGACACATTTACCAAAAAAAAGAAATAATAATCTAATTTTTTTTTTCAAATTTGGGGTTTTTTAATTCTGTTTTTTTTAATGCTATTTTAAACTGACAAGTATTTCCATACAATTTGATCAACTACAGAGAGAGGAAGTGGAAAGAACCAGGACCAATTCCAGCCATGTATGGGCTGAGGTCTTTTTCTAGTAACATCAAGTCTGTGTCCTTCTTCCTCAGACACATTATTCACCCAACAAAGGTGAGAAACATCATACTGGAGGACAAAGGCAGAGCACATTCTAAATATTCTTGTCGGCAGCAGCCTGTGGTGTGTAATGACTTTCTGTAGAAACATGGGTGAAATATGTAGTGAACTGTGATGAAAATGTCTAGAAGTCAAGAAGAGATATTACATTGCAGGGATGAGAAAAGCCCATAAAAAATGACACCCTGTAGAAATAAATAAATAAAATAAAATCCATGTGGGCAAGAATATGGCAAAAAATTATGAACACAAGCACTCCTAGAGGTGTTGATTTATTCAAAAGACAAGGAGAATTATTTTGGATCTGTAAACAAAATTTGAAATAAGTGGGGTTTTCCCATAGTAAGAGCACAGAAGATTTTAGGAGATTAACCTCTTTTTATGAAGCTGAATTTCACCAATACTGAGCTGATAATAAATCTATGCTCTGAGTGATTCCTTCATTTTATGACTCCTGGCAACCATTACTTTCCATTTCTGTATTTCAGAAGGAAAGGATCATTGAACAAGTGTTAGCAACTGCCAATGGCTCTGCTACACTGGTTCTTCTTTTTCCTTTTGATTTATTAAAAAGTCCCAGATATAAATTAATTCCTTTTGCTCAATATGTCTTGTTATTTCACCTGTCACCACTACACACCAGCTTGATAAATAAGAAGGTCATTGATCTCATTCAGGTTTTCCACATGGAAATATGTTGTCCTGCACAAAATGCCTCCTTGTTGTCTATCCAAATATGGGTCTAAAGGTAGCACCCAGAAGAATACACATGCTGCCAAATATTTAACCAGTCTCTCCATGTAGGAATGAATGCCACCTTCTAGATGGATGTCAAGCTTCATCTTCATCTGAGGTGTTAACTCTGAAGACTAATGTTGACACCTGATTATCAGCACTGCTTCTTCATCACTGTGGCATGAAATCAAATAGGCAGATATAGCCACAACCACGAGCCACAAAATATTCCCTGGGTCAGTTCATAGGTAGACTCTCACTCACTTTAGCTGAGTGAAAAGATGACAAAGGCCAAGAACATCCCTGAATAAGATGACATCAAACACAGAAAAGACCTCACTTATTTCAAAGCTTATAAATACTAACAGATAGAAAAGAAAGGCAGAACACTGTTTTAAGAGCCAGGAGAGCAGAGGGAGGAGAGGCGTTTGGGAACAGCTCTAAGACTCTTCTTGGACAGCTTTTGTGATGCACTTTTCCCAGCATATTGCTAATTAGAAGAGAAACATGAACAAGGTAACAACTGACACCTGAACCAAACAGATTATGAGGAGGCACAACTCCAGGCACAAATATAGGCTGAGGAAAGACTGCCTGGAGAGCAGTCATGAGGAGAAGGACTTGAGGGTGGTAGTAGATGAGAAGCTCGACACGAGCCGCCAGTGTGTGCTGGAGCCCAGAAAGCAGCTGCATCCTGGTCTGCATCAAAAGAAGTGTGGCCAGCAGGGCCAGGGAGGTGATTCTGCCCCTCTACTCTGCTCTGGTGAGACCCCACCTGGAATACTGTGTACAGCTCTGGTGTCCTCAGCACAAGAAAGATACAGACCTGTTGGAGAGGGCCCAGAGAAGGGCCACCAAGATGATCAAAGGCCTGGAGCACCTCTGCTATGAAGATAGGCTGAGAGAGTTGAGGCTGTTCAGCCTAGAGAAGAGAAGGCTCCAGGGAGACCTTATAGCAGCCTTCCAATGCTTGAAAGGGGCCTACAGGAAAGCTGGGGAGGGGCTTTTCATCAGAGAAGACAGTGACAGGACAAGGGGGAATGAATTTAAACTGAGACAAGGGAGATTTAGGTTAGATATTAGGAAGAAATTCTTCACTCTAAGGGTGGTGAGGAGCTGGAATGGGTTGCCCAGGGAGGTTGTTGATGCCCCATCCCTGGAGGTTTTTAAGGCCAGGTTGGACAAGGTTTTTTGCAACCTGGTCTAGCGGTAGGGTTCCCTTCTCATGGTAGGGGGGTTGGAACTTGATGATCTTTAAGGTCTCTTCCAACCTTAATGATTCTATGATTCTACGAACACTAGCAGAGTTCCTGAAAATTCAAAGTGATTGAAAAACAGTTAAGTCCCAAGATTTTGCAGACGCATTCCTGAAAAAGACAGTAAAACAGATGTTCCTATCTACTGGGACACTCCGCCACAGAGGCACTACTGCATTTCCACATGTTTGGAAAATTGCTCTTTCTGTTGCCCTCAGCCAGATTTTGCATCATCCCTGAAGGACTCTAGCCAGCACTCCCTCAGGCCCGAGGCAGCCTCAGAAATAAAGTCAGCCATCAATCCAAAAAGCTGTATCACAGACATGCTTACCACTGAATTCCTCCAAGTACATCTGCTCTATGTGATTCACCAAGTACCACATGCATTGTGAACAACAGAAGGGAAAAAAATAACAACAGAGTGCATTAATCTCTGATTAAAATACTGGGCACATTTATATCTAAATTAAGTGCAGCCTTTGGCCTTGGCAATGTGCCAGCAATGCAAAGGTTGTGTGGTTGTTTCTCTTAAAG